AGCAGGAGGGGCAGCTCCAGGTGGGAATGGGAGCGGGAAGGGCAGCTCCAGGTGGGAATGGCAGCGGGAAGGGCAGCTCCAGGTGGGAATGGGAGCAGGAGGGGCAGCTCCAGGTGGGAATGGGAGCAGGAGGGGCAGCTCCAGGTGGGAATGGGAGCAGGAGGGGCAGGGCACTGAGCTGAGCTGTGCTTGTCCCACAGCCCGTGCGCCGGCAGTCGCTGACGCCGCCGTCCCCCAACACCATCTCCTGGGAGGAGTACATCTCTGCAGAGAGTGGCAAGTGAGTGCTGCTGGGTCTGCCAGGGGTGCCAGGGACACCTCTGCATCCCTGGGATGGGGGTTTGGCTTCTCCACTTGCTGGGTGCTGCCTGTGTGTGGTCTCGTGGGGAGGGAGGAGCCCTGGGTTTGGTGTCTCGGTGTTTGTTCTCCAGAGGGATGGGAAGTGATCCTTGCGTGTGGGAGCAGTGTCAGTGCCTCAGCTTTGGGCGGGGAATCCTGGAATGCTTGGGGTTGAAAGGGGCTTAAAGCCCATCCAGTTCTACCCCCCTGCCATGGGCATTCATGGGTAGTGGTTAATAAACACTCCCTGTAGGGTTTATTAGCACCGTGTTCATGAGGAATTATTTTATTGGAACAGTTTTCCTGTTTTTGTCTTGTCTCCTGGTTTAGCAGAGCTCAGTGTAATGTTAATTAAGGGGGTTTTTATCTTTATTTTGCACAGCTTTACAATAAAGCAAACCCTTTGAAAGTAGGGTTTTCCAACCCAAGTCTGTTTTCCTTCCTCTAAACCCAGGATTTCCCTGGGAAAAACTGACTTTGCCTCTCCCTCACAGAGCTCCTCACCTGGGCAGGGAGCTGGTCTGCAAGGAGAGCAAGAAAACCTTCAAAGCCACAATAGCAATGAGCCAGGAATTCCCCTTAGGAATTGAATCGTGAGTCGAAGCTCCCAGCCACGGGAGTTATTCCTTTGGGAATGTTTTAACTTGTTCATGAGCTGCAGAACCTCCAGATCCCCAGGAATGGGAGCTGGGAATGCAGTCAGGCTGTTGAGCAAGGAGTTCCTTAAAATGGGAGCTGCTGGGGCTGGGGGAAGAGCCAAACCCTTACCTGGCTTGATAAGAGCAGAGTTTTGGGCAGGGTTACCAGCAACTGGTGCCTGATCCCACTGAATTCTGAAATAACTTCTTCCCCATAACAAATTTTAGCACAAAATTGTGTCCCCTGACCCAGTGCAAAGCCAGGTCTGTTCCACATGTCCATGGAGAAGGGGGTGGGTACCTCATCCCTCATCTCCTGTGGAAAATGAGGACAAGCAATTGCTATCCTGGTGTTGGTTTGTTGTAGTTCTGGATGTGGGGTGGCCCTGAAGCCCTGGGATGGAGAAGGGGGATGATGTCATTGCCACCTTCTCTGTCCCCTTTGGGTCATGTCTTCCTGCTCCAGGGGGACAGGGTGTGTGTGGCAGGAGGATCTGTCACGGGCTCTGCTCTCCTTTGCAGGTTGTTGAATGTCTTAGAAGTCATTGCACCCTTCAAGCACTTTAACAAACTTAGAGAATTTGTTCAAATGAAGCTTCCACCAGGCTTTCCTGTCAAATTAGGTAAGAGCACACAGCAACTCCTGGGGCTTTATATATCCAGAATTTTATGTTGAAAATGCTCTCTAAGACTGAGTCCAAGCATTCCCCAGCACTGCCAAGGCCACCGCTGCCCCATGTCCCCAAGTGCCACATCCACAAAGCTTTGAAATCCCTCCAGGCATAGGGCTGGAAAATCCTTTCCAAGATAAATTTTCCCAAATATTCAGTCCACATCGAAACATGTGCATTTTTTCTTGCAATATATTCAGAAGTTGGTTTTTTTTTGAGTTTTGGAGAAGAGCTCTCACCTAGGAGTGTGTCACTGGAGAGTTGAGGAGCACAGAAGTGCTGGGGCCTTGCTCCAAGGGCAGTGGGATGTGCTGGATTATTCCTGCATTAGAAGGATCTCAAGTGTGGAGTAACATTCCTGCGTTTCCTTTTCTTGAAGGATTACTGGTGATAGATTTAAGTGAAAAATAGACAAGTGTTGCACTTGTAGCAGATGGCAATGTCTGAGGTCAGCTTTTCCATGGGCTAGATGACCCCAGAAGCAGTAGCCCCTTTCCTAAGGGCTGCAGGCTTTCTGGAGGGAGCCGTGTGAGCAGCCAGGCCGTGCTCTACCTGTGCCATGTTTGCACAGCATTCCAGAGCAGTTGGGGTTGGGAATGACCTCCAATTCCAGCTCCTGCTCCCATTCCCGTGGGCAGGGACACCTGCCGCTATCCCAGGCTGCTCCAAGCCCCATCCAGCCTTGCAGGGGTGGGGTTGGTGCCATCCCTGGCTGTCCCTTGTCCCCTGACCGTGCCTGTCCCCGCAGACATCCCGGTGTTCCCCACCATCACGGCCACTGTGACCTTCCAGGAGTTCCGTTACGACGAGTTCCACGACTCCATCTTCACCATTCCCGACGACTACAAGGAGGATCCCAGCCGCTTCCCGGACCTCTGAGGGGCTGGGAGCTCCAGGGACGGCCAGCCCGGCGTCCCAGGGCCAGGGAACGGCTGCACCCACAGCGGAGCAGAGCCGTGGGCACAGCAAGGATGGACCCGTGAGCCCGCAGCCAAGGGAGGCAGCAGCAGTGCGGATGTGGTGGCACTGCCCTGGGCATCCAGCCCCTCCAGCTTCCCAGAGCCTCCTGCTGCCATCCCCTTTGGCACGGCCACTCCTGGCTCGGGAGCTGCCACCCCCAGCTGGGAGGAGCTGCTGGTTTTTAAATTTTCTACACTTGTGGTGATCCACTTGGCACTGCTGGGCCTTGGCACCGAGCTGGGCTGGGGGTGAGGTGAGCTCCCCCTGTCCTTGCCCTGCTCCCTGTTCCCTGAGCTCCAGCTCAGCCACAGAGTGTTGGAAGGTATCCTGAAGGAATGCCTTGGCTGTAGGTGAACGAACCAAACGGGCACCACTGACACTTGGATCTCCTCCTGCTCTGCAGGGAGCGAGGCACCTCCGGGTGCTGGCCCTGCCTGATCCCCTCACTCCCCGACCCTCCCAGCTCTGCTCCCTGGGGAGCACTCCAGGGCTGCCTGGCCAGGAATGTCACTTGTTAATCCTTTATTTCACCCTCGCTTGGGAGAGGTGTCCCAGAAAGGCCGAGCACCACCAGGTCAGTCGGTGAGAGTTGGGAAGAGCTCGGGCGTTGCCCCTTTCCTGCAGGAGTTTTTCCCTGGGGGCCATCGTGGTGCTCAGCTTTCACCGGGGTGTTCCCACCTTCAGTTCCTGCCTCTTCGTGTTTAAATCACAGAAAATCCCAGACTGGTTTGGGGTGGGAGGACCTCAGAGCTCATCTTGTCCAGCCCCCCTTCATGGGTGGTTAAATACTCCAGCTCCTCAAGCTTATTCCCATTCCCAGTTGTTCCAGTCTCCTCATCTAACAATAATCCACCTTTTTGGGGTTTGTTAGGCAAGATTTGCGCAGAAGGCTGATGGTGCTACTTGTTTGTATGAAGAAATTTAGATTCAAGTGCTGTGGTGTCATTGTACAAAAATGTAAATATTTTCCAAATTATATTCTTTGTGCACTGTAGGTAAAACTTTTCTGGAATTCCATAGAGTTAAGGATCAAAGTTTATAATGAAGAGGATCATTGATGCTCAGTGGAGGGAACAGCTGTGCTGAGCATGAGGGACAAGGGAGGGGCTCAGCACAGGGCAAGGTGTCAGGCACACCTGAGAGCAGGGAATTCCAAACTGCTGGAATCTCTGATCCATCCCAAAGAGGCTGCTCTGGGAAGGACGTGGAGGAGACCCAGGGAATCGCTGTCAGCAAAGTCCAGGAGCACTGGAGTGGGAGGGTGGGGTTGGTCCTTTCCCAGCAGCTCTGTGAACTGGGAACAGGGAAGCACTGGGACAGGGGAGCAGTGCAGCTCTGTTGTTAATTCAAACTCAAATCCAAAATGAAACTTTAGGGAAAACAAGCAAAGGGAAATGACTCCTGCCAGTGCCGTGGTCAGGGCAGGTGTGGAGCATCCTCTGGGAATGATGGAACTTGTTCTCCCAAGTAAGGATGAATTCCTGACGTGTTTCACACCTCTGGGATGAGCTGACACCATCTGTGCTGCTCCTGGGAGCCAGGTGGGGTCCTCTGGGACAGACTGGGGATGTCCATGGGGCTGAGCTGGAGCTTGGATCAGTGCCTGTGGGGCAGCGCAGGGCCCTGTCCCCTCCCAGGGGTCCCTGTCCCCTCCCTGGGTCCCTTTGGGATGTTTTGTGTAGCTGCAGGACCTGGGCCAGGTGCCCATTCCTTGGGAATTCAGTGAAGGTGGGAGGTTCCTCCCTGAGGTGAATGTCAGAGCTCCCTTTGCTCTGATGCAGGGAGGATCTGTGGGTTTGTTTTTCTTTGCATTTTTGGTCATCCCAAATTCATCCCTGGCTCCATGGAAGCATCACCGGGGCTGTGGGGCCTGGGCAGTGCAGCCACTGCTGGATCCCAGGGTGGATCCTGGGCTTGGAACTGGAGAACAAAAAGGGTTTTGAGCGGCCTCCTGTGGGATTGAGGCTCCTGTGGCTCTGTCCCCTCTGAGCAGCCCCTGCTGGGGCTGGTGGCCACGGGGTGTCTGCCCAAAGCCCCGGGAGTCCTGGAAGTGTTTCCTGGGGTTCCTGTGGCCTCTGGCCGCAGACCTGGGCGATTCCCACCCCCAGGACACGGCTGCTCCCTGGGACACTTCCAGGGGCTGCAGGAAGCTGCTCCTTAGGCTTGTCCTGCCTTGGAAGGTGGGCACAGCTTTGGGGTTGTCCTTGTTCTGGGTTACCCCAGGAAATCCTGGCTGCTCCTGCTCTCCCTGTGGAGCTGAGGGATGGGAATTCCCTGGATTGTTCCCCAGCTCCCAGGGCAGCCCCGTGGGCTCCCGGTGCTGCTCTCAGTACTTTTCCCTCCTCCTGGGATGTGTTTCCTGTCTGAACATTCCAGGTGAGGAGTTCTCACATGTAGGGACACCTGGGCATTTCTAATGGATGCACTGCAGGAATTCCCAGTCGGGGACACTGGGCTGAGCCTGTGGATCCCGAGGGGCTGCCCACGTTGAGATCCATGCTCATATCCATGTTTTTTCCACTAAAGCCTGTTTTTGTCACCGGGTTGTGTTGCATGGACACGGAATGTTTGTGGGCCTGGATGTGTCTGCAGGGTGTTCCCAGCCCCAGCCTGGCACACAGGGTCCCTCCCCTCTCCTCTGGCTCTGGGAAATTCCTTTTCCAAGCAGCATCGATCCAGCAGAACCTCACCTCAGCTTTTCCTGGAGGCCAGGCCAGGTGTTGCAGGAGGGTTTGGTCCCTGGGAGTGAGCACAGATCCACGGATCCGTGGATTCCCTGTGACCTGGGAATGTCGGGGGGACCAGGAGCAGCCCTGGACACCCCAACTGGAGCTGGGATCCGGGGCTGGAGGAGCAGGGAGCTGGACCAGGCTGGTGGGAATCACATCCTGCTGCTCCTGGGGGGTCGGGGCTGGGGCTCCCCTCCCACCACTTCTTTTTTTCCTGAGGTTTTTTTATGGCTCTTAAAAGACAGCCAGGAACTTTGCTCAACCCAATTCCGACCTCACTGCGGAAGGATCCCGCGGGTTGTTTCTGAACCAAACTGTTCCTCTGGTCTTCCAAGCTCCTGCTCTGGCCCGTGGCAAAGGGAACACCCTGGATTCCTCCCGGAGCTGCTGTCCAGGCACTGCACTCCCAGCACAGCAATTCCCCATTCCTGCGTTCGGTCCGTTCGTCCTGCCCCGACGTGTTTGTGCTGGAATCCCCCCGGATTCCCTTGGTATTCCCAGCCCCCCTCTGTCATTTCACGTCTCTGCTCCTGAGTTGTAATTCCCTCCAGGAGAACTGCGTTGTTTCATCCGGATTAACCAATTCCTGTAATGCTGCAGTTTCACTTTTCTTTTCCTGACAGTTTGTAACTCCCATGGAAAACGAGCCACCTCTCTCGGGTTTCCTGTCGTCCGCTCCCTGGTTTTCCCTTCCCTTCACTCATAGTCACTTTGGGTTGTATCATTTGTTAGAATAAAGACCAAACTATGCTGTTGGATTTGGAACTGCTCCACCTGTGCAATCCAGGCTTCCCTCTCCCGTCCCGCCGGGCCTGGGCTCCGCTGCGGGAGCGGGACCCGAGGGGAGGGAACGAGCTCCTGCTGCTGCGTTCTGCAAGGGCATTTTCTTGGTCATTTTTTAAATAAAATCCTGCATTTTCATTACAGCCTCTTCGGCCCTCTGTGAATCCCAGCTTTTATGGGGAAAGGATGCAGGGAGCAGTTCCTGGCCTCACCTGGAGCAGGCTGGGAACAGCTGCCAGGGAGGGAGGGGGGAAGGAGCCTGGAATTCACTGAACTCTCTTCAGTCCTTCCAGAGATTTCAGCCTGGATGGAAGCTGAACCCTGGATGGGTTCTTCTGGGTTTGGGTTTTTGCTTTCTTCTTGAGGGGAGGGCTGGGAGCTTTTTTTAGGGGGGGATTTGTTTTTTATTTTTAAACAGCCTTGCTCTCCTCCTCCTGAGCTGAGAGGGATCAGGGCCTCCCTCTGTAAGTGCAGATCTGCAGATGGAAAATCTGTTTCTAAAGGAGCAGGAAACTTCTAGGAAGGACCCCAGCCTCTGCCAGTGAAAACAAAGATTTTTATAACTGCAGTTGTGGCCCTGAGCTTGCTCCAGCTGCTCCCTGCCAGGCAGGGGCTCCCCAGAGCCTTCTCTTGCTTTTCATCCACCAGCACTCCCAGGTCCTTCCCAGCAGTCCCATAAACCTCCACATTCCCATTTTAACCCATTTCTCCCCCAAAAGTAAAATAATTCCTTCTTCACTGTAACAGGGAGATGGAAAAATCCCCTGTAAGGAATGAGGTAAATTTTGGTGCAGCCAGAGGTGGAAATAAAACCCAGCAGTTTTCTAGGAAGAGGAGTTGAAGTTTCAGGGTTTTATTATCAAAGTTTTGTAAAACATTTTCTGAAACTGTACATCGACATGGCACAGACTGTCGGCTACTTTTGTCTCTTTACCTGCACAAAAGTAAAAGCTCTGGAGCTGCTGGAACTAAGGAACAGCTTTGGGTAACTACTCTGCAAATACCATGGGATCACCGAGTGCGGGAGGGGAGGAACGGCCGGGACAGGAACACAAATTTATCCGTTTTGTACACCTTGAGATCGAGTAAAAAGTACATTATCAATGGACTTGCTTTAAAAACAGACCAAGGTCATTTTAAAATGCACTCCCTGCTGCGGCGGGTGAGCTCCTGAGCCCAGCCCTCCCTCACTGGGCACGGCCAGGATTCCCCTTCCCAAGGTCGGGTCATTCCAGCTCTCCCTGGGCGGAGCTGAACGGGCACCTGGAGAGATCCCTCAGGAAGGTCAGGGCACAGAACCCTGGGCAAAGCCAGCCAAAGCCCTAGGGGAACCCAAACCCAGCCAAGCCCAGCACATGGCTTAAAACCAGAACTAAAGCCAAGAGCACAAAGAGCTGGTGCAATCCAAGGCCAACTCCCAAGTGTCTGGGAGGTGCCTGGCAGCCCCTCGGTGGCTGCAGGACAGGGGGGCTGTGCCACACTGCCAGGGCATTCCCACAGGACAGGAGGGCTGTG